GCTTTAGGCTTTTATATGTAGAACAGTAAACGGACACACCCGACACACCTCAGAGATAGCAACAGGCTCTTGGACAGGCCCAACATAGCTTTGAAAACTACTGAAGAAAAAGAGTTTTAAATGGTGTTCACCTATAAAGTTAGTGCACACAATAAAGAAATAAAACTAAACCAAAGAGTGGAAAAGGAAAATGTATTTCTAGACAACAAAATCAAATCAGTTTTATTGTCACATCACATGTGCAGGTACACTGCATGTACAGTACATGCGAGTGAAATTCTTGCGTGCGAGCTTCACAAGCAAAAATACAATAACATAAGATCAAGCAAAATATAAGAGCGGGTAAATCTGACAATTATACGAATAAATATATGTACAATATAAGAGTATTTGCGCATTACTGAATGTGTATACTAAATATGTATATCTACGTGTGTGTGTGTGTGTGTGTGTGTGTGTGTGTGTGTGTGTGTGTGTGTACATATTTTAAAAATAAAATAGAAAATCATGAAATAGCATACTTTTTCATAAATATCTAAAATTGCAATGTTTTTGGCTCATGGGTTACATTAACAAATGAAAACTGTATTTTTAACTTTGACTGTTTATTAAAATAATTGTTTATCATCTAAAATAATCAACTTTGATAGACAGTTCAGTTTTTAAGGTGAGACATTAGTGAATCCCGTATTTATTTATGTTGCAAACAGATATCAGAATGGAAAACAATTAATTAATGATATCAGAGGATTTTTATAACAAGGCATTTTCTTTTCAAGCATGCGCTAATTTTTTATATTTTGACAGCTGCAATCTTAACAGTGGATTAAACATTCTTATTTTGCTTTTTACACAGGAGATTTTGGACGCAGATTTGGATGGTGGTCTAATTCATTCAAGCAAAATTTGATGTAATTTCACTTCAAATTTATGATTTAAATATAGACATGTAGATTGCCAAGGAGTCATTACTCCAAATTGAAATTCTGCAGTTAACTGCCGTTTGTTCAGGCAGTTAAAACTTACGATGACTAAGGTTTGAGGATGACGTTTGTTTCTGCCTTATCTAAACTTCCAACAGGTGGATCCACCCTGAGAGCAATAAATGTTTCCTGGATATCTGTGGGTTTATTTTTACTTTTTTCTTTTTTTGTTCACAAAAGAGCTCAAAAGTTGAGATTTCCTGTTTAGACAGAGGTGATCCTTCATTGCAGTGAAATGTAAAAAACAGGACATAAAATAATAAAAGCTAATGAGGCTCACATGTATACCTGAGTAGACACAATTAGCTATCTGAGTGGTCAGAGGCTAAATTAGCAGATTTTGAGAGTGACGAATGAAAATAATTTAGAATTTAATTTATGATTCAATGATAATGAAAAAACTGAATCATTTTCTTTGATTCAGTTTGATGGTGAAGTGAATATAGTCCTGCCAAACCCCACACTGGCACATCCCACTGTCTAACTCAACCCAACTGCATATCTGTGGGTGGAGCGAAACAGACCTTTAAAAGCTGCACGCCGTGACCTGCTGACCAACAGGACAAGTGAAAAACTCAACAAAGCAAAATGGTTGTGTGGACAGACTTTGAGCGCACCGCGATCCAGGACATCTTCTCCAAGATCGACTATGCGGTCGTTGGGCAAGCAGCTTTTTCCAGGTATGACCATGTTTCTCCCTTAAAGAATGTGCAAGATTCTATATATGACTCTATATATGACTCTTCTTTAATAATTGTGAGCTATTTAAAATTGTCTGTTTCCGTAGGTGTCTGATTGTCTACCCCTGGACTCAGAGGTATTTCGGTGGATTTGGAAACCTCTACAATGCTGCTGCCATCACATCAAATCCAAGGGTTGCGTCTCATGGAAAAGTCATCATGGAAGCTCTGGAAAAAGCCGTGAAGGACATGGACAACATCAAGGCCACATATGCAGAGCTGAGCGCGCTGCACTCTGAGAAACTGCAGGTGGACCCTGACAATTTCATGGTAGGCAATGCTGAACTGATGGTACTGGCTTCTATTGATATTTATGTATTTATTTAGCATGTTCATGATATATCATGCATGTTGTGTTGTGTTACAGCTCCTGGGTCACTGCCTGACCATTGTGGTTGCTTCCCAGCTGGGTAAAGCCTTCACTCCTGAGGTACACGCAGCTTTTCAGAAGTTCCTGGCAGTGGTGGTGTCCTCCCTCAGAAAGCAGTACTACTAGAGAGCTGCTAAGGAGGCTTAAATAAATAAAACAATGGGCATATTCTTCACTTTGTTGTTTTTTCCTTTTCCAACATTTGTAATTATATCAGGGTGTAGCACACGAGTTAAATGGTGGGTGTATCTTGTAGTGCAACCTATAAATGAGCCTATTCTTTTAATTTTTAAATGGTGTCCTCCCTCAGAAAACAGTACTACTAGAGAGCTACAGAGGACTGTTTTTAAAGTGTGACTCAAAATGCTGATAATAAATGCGATATATGAAGCATATACCTCAAGTTGTTCATTTTATTTCCCTTTTTTTCAGAATATATGGTCATATTAGTAAATAAAAGTAACTCTTTGAGAGTCTTGTAAGCTTTGTTCATATATAGAAAAATATATAGGCCTACACACTGTTCTTTTATACTGTTCTGTGAGACAGCTGATGTACAAACGAAATACAACTACATCCAAACACAAACACACACAGACAAATGTGAGCAAGGTGATACTTGTAAAAGGAAAACACCATTGTGTCTTCTAGTTGATGGTATCCATAACAACCATGGTATTGGATCGATTGCAGTGCAATAGGGTCGATAATTGGTTTGTATTCTCTAAATTCAGTATGTAGCCCACTGAACTTTGTGAGATAAGTTGTGTCGACTCATTAGTGTAGAACGACATTAAAAATGTGTTAAGAATTCGTAAACTGTATGACATGACTCATGTCATGAATCCTGATACACTGCTCTCCCCTACATAAACTGCCTATATAGATTTAAAGTATCAGTATCAGTATTGGTATGGGCAAAACTGGGCCTTTATTTACTTGGTATCAGATCGATACCTTATTCTGCATTATCCCACATCACTACTATCTTCTTCTGGGGTGTTTTTTTTAAAGGCATAACTTCTAGTAAATCAGATTGTGCTGTAACTGATCGAGGTCAAATAAACTGTCAATTACTAATAAGAGCATGAGACCCTGGCCATGGTTATAATGAAAATAAAGTTTGCAGCGTTTGGTTTTATAAATCATTTGAACGTACACATTTTTTTCTTTGTTTTACAAATTTTGTTGGTTATTGCATTGCTCTGGACAATTATAAAGGAATCATAAACAATAATAAAGATGTTCTCAGCAAACTACAGCATGTGCTGCTGTGTTGTGTTCTGGGTTTATCTTGGATTGGATTTTCCATGTTATTTTAAAGCATAATTGCTGCAGCAACAATATATATACAGGCATCTAAAAAGCTATTTTATAGAATGAATAGAATTAATGTTGATATTATTTTTAAAAATATAATCGTCAGAATATTAATTTGTGCTGGGATCTGCAAAACATCGGCAGCCTCCTAGCCTGCAATAAAGTTATAGCGATGTTACTTTTATTGCACAACATTATAGCTGTAGAAACAAATAAAATCGTTACTCTGTGGCAGCTCGCATTTAATGGTTAGAAAGGTAGGCTATTACTTTGAACACTCTTTCTGTGTTTGCACATTAAGTTTTATTTAGTGGCCAGCTGAAAGCTTATTGGTCACTCATCTTGACTTTTAATAAATTCTGGCACATTTTGTTGGCCTTTCATCTCAGCCCTCCTTTATTACACGTATATTGTTTTTATTTTTTAGATTTGCCACCAAATTGAAAGTTGATATCAACTTTAAATGAATTCACTTCACCACACAGATAACAGCAGTACTGTATTAGATTTATTTATTTGTTTTTACATTAAAAATCCGTTTGGGAGTATCCAAGCCCATGTTGTTGACCGTCAGAGTGCAATTTATCGGTACTTTTCAGACAGGGCAAGCGCCACCGCAGTCAGGAACTTGTCAATAGCCACGTGGACCTCGGGGGTGAAGTCGTTGGGGAATGTGGTGGACAGGACCACAAGGAGGTTGTGAGAGAGAACCTGTGAAAACATGATAGCCACATTTAAAGTCACATTTAATTGCTGTAATATTCTGCAAACATTGTTTTTGTACGATTGAACCGCACAGTCTGGGTTAAGTGTAATTTAGACAGAAAATAGATATGCTTGAGAATAGCGATTTGGGAAGAAAAACTTGGGATGTCTAAAGACAAAAAAATATTAAATCTATTAAATTATTTTTATATTAATACGAAAATGCACAAAAGTTGTGATCTGTTTTATTTAGGTCCAAACCTTCACAGCAAAACACTAAAAAGTTTCACTGCTATGATTTAATAAATAAGTACCTTGAAGTTTGCAGGGTCCACTCTCAGAGTGAAGGCGTGCAGTTCGCTGAGGCTCAGAAGAGCTCCGATCAGATCATCAATTTTGCTGACAGCATCAGTAACTGCAGTCATCACGGTTGCTCCGTGCTTCCTCACCGGGGCAGAGCCGGGGCGCAGGTCCTTCCAGTGGGAGAAGTAAGTCTTGGTCTGGGGGTACACTGTCAGCATAGGTAAAATGTAGGTTAAGTAGTAGGTAAAAAATGCAGCAGAGGGTCTGTCCAGTTGGGGTCATAGGTTGTAAATCATAAGGCATATTTACCTGGAGACAGCATCACAACCGATGTCCTCCTCCCTGCCAGCCACTTTAGCCCAGAAAGTTTGGACTATGTTCTTGTCCTTTTCGGAAAGGGATGTCATGTTGCCTGTTTTTGTTTTGTTTTTCGCTTTTCCTGATCAGCTCAAACTACGGGGACTTTTATACATGAAACAAGCAATGGACACACCCGGGCCACCTCAGAGATATGACCACATGGTTCTGCTAGAGATAAACGCAAGATAAAATTGCGATGGTGGCTCTGAAGACCAGTCCGTAAGCCAGTCTCAAGGCAGTGTTTATTTATTCATTTATTTAATAAATTAATTCAATTAATCCAACTGAATACTAAAAGTTTGCAGTTTTAAAACCCAAAACATAGATTTCCAGTGACAGTGATTGTTGTCTTTGAGTCTGTTGCTGTTCATATTAATGTGGTGCTGAAATAAGTCAAAGCAGTAAAATGGACATTTTAAATTTATAGCTCTATAAGATAATGGGCTTAATAATAACAACAACAACAACAACAACAATAATAATAATAATAATAATAATAATAATAATAATTATTATTATTATTATTATTATTATTATTATTATTATTATTATAGAAGAACATATTATAAAAATTACGTAACATACAGCTTAGTACTGAAAAACCAAAATTAAACATGTAGAGGACTAGAAATACTGATTCAAGTTCTAGATTTTGCAAGGCTGTCAGTTACCAACATGATGACTTGTACATGATGACGTTATATCTTAGCAGCCAACACCTTACTGAAACATATCTGATGTTCAACAGGTGGGTGCACACTGAGCCGTTAGCCTCAGGAAGGAAAGTTGATTTCTAGGTTCCCATGTGAGCACAGGGCATGATAACTCTGCCAAAATCAACCTAAAATTAGCGGAAGAGATATAGAAGTATGGAAAAATGAGACCAAAAAAAGTTTCAATAAAAACCAAAATGCTATCTCTCCAGCGCAGTGGAATCTTCTGGGTTTTTTTTTAATCTCACCTTATCGTGGCTCAAGAGTTGGGAGTTCGCCTTGTAATCGGAAGGTTGCCGGTTCGAGCCCCGGCTTGGACAGTCTCGGTCGTTGTGTCCTTGGGCAAGACACTTCACCCGTTGCCTACTGGTGGTGGTCAGAGGGCCCGGTGGCGCCAGTGTCCGGCAGCCTCGCCTCTGTCAGTGCGCCCCAGGGTGGCTGTGGCTACAATGTAGCTTGCCATCACCAGTGTGTGAATGTGTGTGTGAATGGGTGGATGACTGGATATGTAAAGCGCTTTGGGGTCCTTAGGGACTAGTAAAGCGCTATATAAATACAGGCCATTTACCATTTATCTTTAAACAATTCTTTATTTATGTTTACTTACAGTTAATTAAGCTAATTAAAAAAACGTCTGCAGATCTGTTAAATGAGACTGGGATTTGGTCTGTGAGTCAGCTCGATTCAGGTGTTCTTATGATATTCTGAATTTCCCGAACTTAAAAATGTAGCTCTGTGTGATTCCCTAACATTAAAATGATTTTTTAAAACTGTAATACTGAAAACATCAGGTAACGAAAACGTTTATGAATAATGAAACTAATTAACTAAGCCGGCACAAATGTGACGAAGACTTAAACTGGAAAGCTTGTTTTCTCTTGACTGATTTTCAAGTTACACGAACAAAGAAGTACAAAGCGTTACATGTAACTCGGTTTATCCACCCTACTGTCCTACTCCACCCAACTGCATATCTTTGGGTGGAGCGAAACAGACCTTTAAAAGCTGCGTGTGGTGGGCTGCTGACTAACAGGACAAGTGCAAAACTCAACAAAGCAAAATGGTTGTGTGGACAGACTTTGAGCGCACCGCGATCCAGGACATCTTCTCCAAGATCGACTATGCGGTCGTTGGGCAAGCAGCTTTTTCCAGGTATGACCATGTTTCTCCCTTAAAGAATGTGCAAGATTCTATATATGACTCTATATATGACTCTTCTTTAATAATTGTGAGCTATTTAAAATTGTCTGTTTCCGTAGGTGTCTGATTGTCTACCCCTGGACTAAGAGGTATTTCGGTGGATTTGGAAACCTCTACAATGCTGCTGCCATCACATCAAATCCAAGGGTTGCGTCTCATGGAAAAGTCATCATGGAAGCTCTGGAAAAAGCCGTGAAGGACATGGACAACATCAAGGCCACATATGCAGAGCTGAGCGCGCTGCACTCTGAGAAACTGCAGGTGGACCCTGACAATTTCATGGTAGGCAATGCTGAACTGATGGTACTGGCTTCTATTGATATTTATGTATTTATTTAGCATGTTCATGATATATCATGCATGTTGTGTTGTGTTACAGCTCCTGGGTCACTGCCTGACCATTGTGGTTGCTTCCCAGCTGGGTAAAGCCTTCACTCCTGAGGTACACGCAGCTTTTCAGAAGTTCCTGGCAGTGGTGGTGTCCTCCCTCAGAAAGCAGTACTACTAGAGAGCTGCAGAGGACCGTCACACACTCTGTTGTTAAACTGTACCTCAAAATGATGTTAATAAATAAGATATATGAAGCATATACCTCAAGTTGTTTGTTTTATTTCCCCTTTTTCATAATAGGACCGTTACATAATCTGTTTTTAAATCATGTCTTGAGGAGACTTAAATCAATAAAACAACGAGCTTATTTTTCCCTTTGTTGTTTTTTCTTTTTTTTTTCTAGCATTTGCAACTATATCAGGGTGTAACAGAAGAGTTCAATAGTGGGTGTAAGATATTAATTAGCCTATTCTTTCACATTTTAAATAAGATGGTGTAAAATAAAAATAAGTCATGCTGTGACTTTCGCATCAAAGGACCTCTCATAAATTATGACGGATGATAAAGTATTGTGGTGTAAAGTATTTTTAATGTACACCACACAAAAAAAACCCCAAACAAACACGGCAGTTTCATTGCATTTGATTTATTCAGATTCAGACTGGCAGTGAATTGCTATCTGAGCCCCTGCCGCTCGTCGCCTCCAGTATGCAATTTATCGGTATTTCACAGACAGGGCACGAGCCAAGGCAGCCAGGAACTTGTCTAAAGCCATATGGACCTCAGGGGTGAAGTCGACGGGGAACATAGTGGCCAGAACCACCAGGATGTTCTGAGCAAGAATCTGTACAAAGATCGTGACACTTCTTTAGCAGAATCAGTGATTATGATATCAAAGATCAGTTATCTTAATCATAACTCAGTCTATCCTGTGTTTCTTCGGTGACAGTGTCGTGCTTTGACTTGCTGACAACACAGGCAACTTCCCTGTTTGTTTAAAAGTGTAAGATTTTTGCGCTACAGCAGCTGAAACACACATTTCATTTATCCTAAAGATAAATGTGGCTCGATGTCACGAATTGGGGTTCAACTTATGATTTATTTATATTTGCATATGGCCTTATCCATGTGTGGATGGGACAGATTTATAGGCTTCTAAATCAAAGAATAATTAATGATGACGTTACAGTTCCTCACTAGAAGGGATGCAGTCTCAACCGGTAGCCTATGGAGGCACATTTAAATAAAAACTACTAAAAAATGTTTAAGCAAGCGTTTAATTTGTAATCCAATTAATCTTTAAAGCAAACCCACAGGTTTTCTGAACCGCTTTCATGATTTAATAAACAAATACCTTGAAGTTTGCAGGGTCCACTCGCAGAGTGAAAGCATGCAGTTCACTGAGGGTAAGAAGACTCCCTGCCAGGTCGTCGATTTTGTTCACAGCATCGGTTATTGTAGCTGCCACCATTCCTCCGTGTTTCCTCACTGGGGCAGAGCTGGGGCTCAGGTCCTTCCAGTGGGAGAAGTAAGTCTTGGTCTGAGGGTACACTGTCAGCATCCTGGGCAAAAACACAGGTGAATAAGCCAGTAAGTAATAGATAAAAATGCAGAAGCGGGTTAAATTCGCCTGGTGTTTTTTCTTATTTACCTGGCAACAGCGTCACCGCCAATGTTATCCGCCCTTCCCGACACTTTAGCCCAAAAGGCCTTGACTATCTCCTTGTCCTTAGCAGAAAGACTCATCTTTCCTCTGGACTTTTTTTTTCAAGTTCAATGCCGTGTTCGCTGCAAACGGAGGGGTTTTATGGATGCAGTGGAACATAGGCACACCCAGCCCCCCTTCAAGATAATGCTATAGGCGTTTGGAAGGATTCCAAATGACATGTAACAGCTGGCATGAGATAAACACGAAACCAAAGTCTCACGGTTCTATAATATAGGACGAAACAATCAGAATTATATTCCCACGGGCATCCAACTGAAGCGTACAAAACTGACAGCTAGTGAAACCCTCGTATCACCTGCTCAAACTGCTCAAACTTGGACGTGCTGGTAATGCTCGGACGTTAAAAACGGGCCTTAATGAATTAACTGGCTGCTAAGAAACACATCTTGTGTACAAGCCAAATATCTTATCGTTTCAGCTTTGCCCCACACTGGAAATGCGCTCTTGAGGGATGGTAAGGGTCTATAAATAACCTCCACTTTGGAATTAATCCAAACATTTTTATTTTGGCTCACTCCTTTGAGTAAAGATGATTTTTTATTTGTTCTAATTAAACAAGTGTTTATCCTCACAAATCACACTCCTTATTAACTGGAGGTTAAAGCTTTTATTTTGTTTTACACCAAACTACAAGAAAAAAATGTAAATATAACTTAGTAACTGCTATTTCAATATTTTATTTACACTCAAAACAGATTTATGTCCAAAATGTTGAATTCAAGTAATTTGATTAAATGTAAGTTTTCCATATAGTTTTCTTACATACATGTCAAACGCTAAATGTAATTGAATTTGGTCAAATAAAATGTACTTGATTGGTATACATTCAATTTATGTCAAAAAATATTTTCCGTAATAATTAATTCTGAATAAATAAACCTTTGATGTCATATGTTCCAGTTGCCTTTACTCAAAACTACTGCTTCATGTTTATGACGGCCAAGAATAACTTTTTAAACATACATACATTTGTATATATGCTTGTGTTTATTTACTTTATTAACTGCCTTTGTAATTGCAATTTATATGAGATAAATTAAATCAGTACGCTTTAACAATCAGCCCGTGGATTCTGATTTAAAATCTAAATTCTACAATTAATTAATAGGCCTGTTGGTTGTGCTATCAGTTACAAACATGATGATTATGCCATTCGCCGCGTTTGTTTTTACTTTGAGGCTTATCGTTTCAGTGGGTGGGCCTGTTTTTTAAAAAAAACAAAACATGATAATGCAGGAGCAGCACTGGCTGCACCACGACATATCGACGCGGTTAAAATTATACATTCGCTCTTGGTGTTAGTTTATTTCATTGCATTGCAGGGAGCAGTGGCGGAGCGGGGGGGTGACTTACTGGGCTTAAGCCAGGGTTGTTTTGTCAGAAGCCCGGGGTCTTTTGGAGTGTAATTTTTTCATAGTTAGATGCCTGGCTGACAACTGTATAAAACAAAAAGTACACACAATATTCGAAGCACATAGTGCACACTGTGGAAATTTATGACTGTGCGTGAATCCCCCCTAATATTGGTATGATCCGAGCTCAGCGACTGAGCGAGGGGCCGGGGGGAGCTGCTGCCTGTTGGAGAAACGGAGCCAAGCAGACAGAGGAGAGCTGAAGATCGACCAGGTACCAAAAGCAAATCATTCGTACTGTACAAATAATGTAAATATGACGGTGAATCACGAAAGATTGATATCAAACTGATCACTTGACCAATATTACGTTACTTGCTCTTCGAGTGAATCAACAAATGGCGAAATGAAAAGCAGAACAACAACAATGCTGTTTCTTTACAGAGTCTTAGCTTACACATGTGTTTATTTCATATTTTCAGTCGTTACCCTCCACGGCTAAATAAATCGGTTTCAGTAATGCACTGATATACAAGAATGGGCATAAGGAGCTTCTTTCAAAGAAAAAACTCAGGTAGATGTTATTTTATATATTATGCTTTGTATGTTGTTCAGTATATTTCTATGGAAAACAAGAGGAACTTCAATACACAGCAGTATATTCACAGTTTAAACCAGATACTTACATACACTTTATGGAAAACACAAGAACATTTTATTACTGTACAACATCAATTTAGAGTAAACTTGTTTTGTTTTGGATAAATAAATATTGAAATATCTTTTGAATTAGTTAAATGTCAGAATAAAGAGAGACAGAGCTGTCTATTTTTATCACTTTCATCAAATTTAGGAGTACATATACACTAAGTTTATTGTTAATTAATAAGAAAACTCCAGACGATTCCATTCTGAGCTGAAGAAGCTTCTGATAGGTTAGTAGAGTCCATGTGAGTAAATTGGTGGCACACTGTGGATGCATATAAGGCAAAACACAGAGCCTGTTTCTTTGACAATGGGAAAATCAAGAGATGTCAACCAAAACACCAGGAAAAGAACTGTGGAGCTCCATAAGTGTGGCTCAAGTTTTGAATACAATTTGGTGCCATTTGCAATTAAGAAATACAGATAGTTTCTCTCTTTACTCTTAAAGTTAACAAATATGTTTTTTATATTTATCAATCTAAAAAAAATAAACATTTAGTCTGATTTGATGTTACAATTAAAAAAGTGTGTGTTTTGATCTGAAGAGTTATGTAAATATCTGGTTTCAACTGTATATTTGATGATTGTCAGCACAAAGAGGGAGAGAGAGAGGAGGAGAGAGAGAGGAACAAAGAGAGGAGAGAGAGGAGAGGAGAGAGAACAGAGAGAACAAGAGCAGGTGAGACACCCCCCCCCCCCCCCCCCCCCCCCCCCCCCCCCCCCCCCCCCCCCCCCCCCCCCCCCCCCCCCCCCCCCCCCCCCCCCCCCCCCCCCCCCCCCCCCCCCCCCCCCCCCCCCAAATCCCACATGCATACTACCCTTTAGGGCTAAGCCCCGGGTGTATCAAATGTCTGCCTCCGCCTCTGGCAGTGAGTCGGGTATTTTTAGCTAATGTTTAAGTTTAGAACCTGCTTTGACTCTAGCTGTCACCTGATTTGCTTCAGTTAAATGTACCTATATGTGTGCACTCGCGCAGTGAGAGAACGTCAAGACTGAATGGCCAAGTCGGTTCCTGTCCGTTGGTCAAATAAACGTCTAATTCTTTGCCAGGTAAAACACCAAGTGTGCTCAATCGTCTTCTTTTTGAGTGGCTTCAGTTGTTTTATAAACCTTGTAACTATGCACTGCTCTCAGTCATACCTCCTGACCATGTCCGATATGATTATGACAGGACAACAAAATGACTCGAGTCCTCGTTCTGTCTGCAGTGCTCTCACACAAGCAGGGGTCTGTTGCACCATACTCATTTTTTCCGACAGTGACTTCATGTGGCAAAGAAGAGAATTGCATTCTTATGATCAGTTGCCTTGTTCGTCTGGGACAATTAGCCACACACCAGGGACCATTCTAGGATCAAACCACTAGGAGGCCTCAGCCCCCAGTCATAACGTCATCCATTCTCCCTTACAATTATACCAACATATTATGCTGCATGTAAACATAATTTTCACCTTTGCAGACCTGAATGTTACAGGATAAACATTAAAACATATCCAAAAGAAATATCTTTTTTGGATTATATTTCAGTGTTGAACCCTTTCATGCATGAATTATGACAACCTCAGTCAGGATTTTTATTCTTAAGTAGTTTTAGTCATCTTTAGGCATGAAAAAAAAAAGATTTTTGAACTTCATTTTTTTAAACATGTACTTTTCAAAGAGTTTGTTACATGTCCACTTAGGTGGACAACCTACGTTTTGACCTATGAATTTGGTATAGAGTGACACATCAGTGTAGTGGTTTAAGTGCAAGTGTGCCATCAACACTGAAACGGATACAAGAAAACAGCCTTTGAATAGCTGTCCACTGTACTGACCACTATGCACGAAGAATGATTCTGAATAAATGATCACAGTTCTTAATATAAATTTTGAAAGTAAGTTAAAGCAAAATTTGTAGTAAAGCAGAAAAAGAGGAGAAACTTGCACAAACTTCAGATCATGAAATCATCATCAATGAATGTGGGCAAAAGAGAAGCTACAGCTTTTGCTGTCTTTGACTTTTGCTCTTTACCTCTAACCCTTTCCATCCCTGTCTCTCATGCAGCTCCTCTGTTTGAGTGCACTAATAGCAACTTGACATCAAGAACACTGGACTTGATTTCACTGTAATCTGCTGTATGATCTCCAACAGAGAAGTTTGGAAAATGCAGCATTAAAAGGGCATGTTGCTTTTAGGGTGGTTGAGCATCCAGAAAAGTAGTGATGTATCGGTCACGAACGAAACGGCTCTTAGAGCCGGGTCTTTGATGTGAACGACATGAGCCGGCTCCTTATCGGGAGCCATGGGTTTTTTTTCTTTCTCTCACCGTCTCTCTCGCACTTTTTTCCGCTTCACTCTGCACGCAAGCCTTGTGCTTTGCCCTAGCAAGAGGGGGGAGGAGCGATAGTTACACTCGCAGTAGCACAGGAACAGAGCAGGAGGGAGAGACAGAGAAAGAGAGCCAGGCATAACAACATCACATTAGAAAGGTGTAGTAATCATCCACAGCTATTTTCAGTTACGGAAGATAAAGGATTCAGAAAGTTTATTCATGCAGGCCTATATGACAGAGAATGTGCATGTTCTTTTTGTTTTCATATTTTATTTATATTAAATTTTGTTGTGGTTTGCAGTGTTTTGTGTTGTTTCACTTAAAATTTGTTTAAAAGGAAAAAGCTGACAATTTAAATAGTTGAAAGTTGAAATGTGAATAGTTGTTTTTTGTATTATATGATTTATTTATTACATTTTATGTGGAGTGAATAAATAAAAGTATATTTACGGTGGCCCCTAGAGACAAAGCACGTACAAGTTTCAAAACAGACACAAACACAACAGAAGTGCTCCAGGATGCTAGGGGGCAGTGTTGAGCTTTTGTTACCTAGTGGCTACACAAGCCAGGAAGTACCAACGACCGGATTTGGTGTGTGGTAGTAACAGGTAAATGAACTTTTTATTATTATTATTTTTTTAATATATGTGTGTGCTTGTGAATAAATACACAAACAATACACATATGCGTTCAATTGTGTAATTTAAGTGATCTAGGTAGCTCTGTTTTGGAAGTTCAGTTAACGCTAGAAATGTGTTTTGGAGTTTGGAGGAAATTGTACATGCTTTGTCTCTAGGGGCCATTGTATATATTTATATATAAACATATATAAATAAAACCACTTTTTTTTACATTAGTAATTATTTTTGTGCATAATTTTATATTGTTGTTAATAATAAATTAATTAAAGCAATAAAACAACCTGAAGAGCCGGTTCTTTTAGTGAGCCGAGCCGAAAGAGCCGGTTCTCTAAAAGGAGCCGGAAATCCCATCACTACTGAAAAGGGTCTAAACGCGCCAATGCTACAAACTGCGTATTTCTCACTTAATACTCACATTTTTCACACAATGTGAATATTAGGACATCTTTTATATTTGTTTACATTATCTGTGTGATGACTTTGAGCTTTCTGGGTCATTGTTCATGGTGAATCTATTAGACTGAATATGACCAGAGATTTTTGATCAATTTGTTTGTGTCCCTGTGGCCTTCCTTTTATGTCTGTTTGATTGTTCTGTCATTCTTGTTTAAAATAAACAATTATATGACCCAATTCCTGTATCTTCTTGCTGTCTGAATCCACATGGATACCATCAACCCTGTTGGTGCCACTGTAAAATCCAAGCCTTAGGAGGAACACACTCTATACATTAAAACCGTTACAACATTAAAACCCTTATATGGTGTCTGTTTTACAAATTCAAACAAATAGGCGTTCAAATTTGGGATGGTTGTTTTCAACAATGCAACTGTGACCCAGATATTTTTCTATCAAGACAATTAAACTTGATTTTCCGCCATGTTTTTTCTCCTCTCATTAACTGCAGTTACACTTGTTGATTCAAAATTTCCCTTAAAATGCCGTGAAATGACAATGCCAATACTATTAATTATATATTACCTCCCTCAGGACATACTGCATTTTCTTTGGACCTTCATTACTAAGTCAGATATATTTTCCATTTTTGCTTGGTATAAGATTTCAGCAGCCTTACTAGGTTCTGGGCTTCCTTTATAATGTTTTTCATTTCTTAGTGTATCAAATGTTTTTAATGTACGACAGGTGTAGACTGCAGCGAGGAGATTGTTGCAGAATGTCATTAGGGCATTATCTCTATGAAATAAGCTGGGCCTTCCCTGCAACAGACCTCAAGTAAATTGTTTAGTTGACTGTGAAGACCGCTGTGGACGTTAACCAAATTGTGTCAACATGACCCATCCCTAAAAAGTTTTATCAGAATTCATTAAAGACTGGTTGAGCTCATTTGTTTACTGACAGAATGACACATGTGCAAACACTACCAAAAACATAACCTGTTTGGCAGATGTAACAATGAATGTGTGATTGATGGAAAGACTTTCAGCATTATTTCAAGTGGTTTACCAAAGGTACTGTATTAATTTTAGGAATTATAGCCATTAATACAGTTCCCCATATTCAGAGGCTCACAGTAATTTGAAAATGTGACATAATGTTAACTATAAAAATAGTTTTTATGTTTTATTAACTTTTCACAGAGTTGGGGAAAAAAACAACAACTTTCAGTCCATGACAAGTTCTTAACTGTCTGAAATCTGGAACCCATGAAAGTCACTAAATGCTGTTTCCTCCTTTAGCTCTGTCAGACTACTTTCACTTGCTGCTTGTGTGTGTTGGGGTCTCTTTGACTTCAGTTTTGTCTTTAGTAACTGTCTTCAGTATGAGACTCACCAAACTCAAGCTCCAACTGATAAAAAACAAACTGAAATGCACTCATGTCAAACTTATATCAGGGCTAACACACGTTTTTTGTTTTGTTTTTTTCTTTAAGTTGTATTATCTCCAAATAGGTTTTTTTCAGCGGTACTGACTGCTCATAGCGTCGACCACAGCAGATATAAACTTCTGCCAGATAGCTTGACTCTGGGGGCTCAGGGCTGACTTGAATTTGCATGCGATTGTGATAGTGATACAGTCTGCCAACAGCTGTGAAAAAAAGAGAAAACACCATGAAAACTCTACAAGTGCAAAGCGTCACGTATTTTTTTCATGTGGGTTTGAGGAAAAGTGTTGCTTACCCTGAAGCTATCAGGGTCCACTTCGAGTTTCTGAAAATGCAACCGGCTCAGATCAGCATACGTCCGTTTCATGTTGTCCATGTTGTTCACTGCTTTGTCCAGAGCCTTCAGCACCATCCTTCCATGAGCCGCCACTTTGTCGTTTTTCAAAATAGCAGTGATGGTGAAGAGATCTCCAAAAGAACCAAAATATCGCTCAGTCCAGGGGTAGACTATCAAGACTCTGACAATGCAACAGTCAGTGGTACAGGTTAATGAGCATAAACGATACCACGTGATAAAATATGAACTAACTGGAGAAAAAATCCCTAAATATACAACGTACCCTTAAACAATGGAATATTTAAAAAATAAGAATTTTTCACCATCGTTTTTTCTTTATTTATTTCGTTTTAAACCAGGCATTGAATTTTACTATTACGAAATACCCATCAACTAATTAAATAGCAATAATAATAATAATGTATTGAGAGAAAATTGCCAGAATATTTTTTCCGTTTTTAGGATTTTTTTACGATCCGTTCTTGAACAGTAAAACTTTCACAATCACCTACCTTGCCCAAATTTGTGACCCAATCTCATCGATATCAATTTTTTCCCAGATAGCTTTCACAGTGCTGCGCTCCAGTTCCGTCCACTTAACCATGACCTGAGCGAATTGGATAAACAGTTTTACTTCCGCACTCTGAGCTGCTGAGTGATCAGCTTTTCCGCTTAATGACTGGCAAAAATGAACCAGCAGATGGTATGAGGGTCCTATATTTCCAGCACACTAAAAGCGGACGGATGAGCCTGAGCTACACAGACTACGTGTCAACTATCACTGCAAAACACAATGGAAATGCCCAGAGATGGTATGGTATGGCATCAAAATATCCTCACGTAAACATAACCACCTCCCCATCCTGTTGTATCAAGTAATTTTCCGACAGCTGATGAACTTAGATTATGCCATGCTATCATTATCTGAACATTCAGGCTTTCCCCACCCAAATAAATGATCCGCGGGTCCACTTCATATCAGAAACGTATGAAAGTTTATTTCTTGGCCTTAAATTACCCCATTCAATTAAATTTGTTTTAAAAACTGATCAGCTCAATCAGGATTATGGCCCGTCCGATCGCGACAGTACTTATATTATATATTATATCCTTCAGTCATTTTTTAATTTCATTCAAGGCGTTTTAAAAAAAAAGCATAGCGTTTTTATAATGTTGCCGCTATACGCCTAGCAGTGTTCTTGTGTTATGTTGGGTCGAGGTTATAAACGAATTTTCTGCACTAAAGAAGAAGTACTTTTTTCTGAGCTCGCAGACTGACTCGTTGTTAACGCTCTAACTTTAAATATGCGTAAAATGCCTGATAGCTGATGTTCTTCTTTGCATTTTGGAACACTTCACGTACATCAACAATACTTCCCATGCAGCCAGAGAACAACAACTTTGGATCCCTTTCACTCTTTTTTATACGAAAAGCAAAACTTAACAGTAAAGGAAAAAGTCACGAAACGGATTATCGGTGAGGCATACTTGTAATATTTATATTATACTCAAACATATAGGCGACTTCTATTGAGGACTATTGACTGTCCGAGATCTCCTTCTTGATGTTGTATTGCCGGTTAAAAGAACAAGTCAAATGATCGCACAGAGAATGAGTATGATTTGAGGTTTTATTTATTGGTGCATCTGGCAACAGAGTCAAAAAGATATATATGATGTCACTTATATGACTGTTGCACATCTTTTTTTGATGAACTGGCACTCCAGAAATTTAGTGGTACTGTCTACCCAGGGCAGAGGCGACCACGCACAAAAACTTCTGCCAGGCTTCCTGGACCTCAGCGGTGAAGACGCTGGGACCAAACTTAGCGGCAACGCACAGGCTGATGCATTCAGCGAGCACCTAAAATGAGAGAAAGAAAATGCTTAACAGAGTTAATAAACACAAACTAATTAGCTCACCTTTTTCAGGTCCATGTGTGATGATTGTTTCTGGGTGCTGGTGGGGGGCATACCCTGAAGTTATCGGGATCCACGTGGAGTTTCTCGGAGTGCATAACGCTCAGGTTGGCGTAGGTCTGCTTGATGTTGTCCAAGTTCTTCACAGCATTTTCCAGACCACCCATCACGGTCCTTCCGTGTTGTGCCACTTTGGGGTTTCCCATAATGGCGGCATTGGTGGACAGGTCTCCAAAGGCTTTGAAGTATCTCTGACCCCAGGGGTACACAATCAGAAGCCTGAAATAAAACCAGAGAAACAATATTAATTTTAGTGCATATAGCATTAATAAGTGCTTCTACATACACAAAGAAACGTGTTGATATATTCGCTTCAGCCAAGTTTCAACATTATAGTAAAAAAAGTTGCATAACAAACGACCACGTTTCTGAATTGCTATGAGCTGCAGGTTACCTGGAGAGGGCCTGGGGACCGATTTCCCCCACATCAATCTTTCCCCACAGGCCTATGATGGCACTGCGCTCAGCATCTGTCCACTCGACCATTTTGACGGGGTGCAAGTCTCCTAGTTCACGAACAGGTTCTCACAGGTTCTCACAAATCTGCTTGTGAATAATTTACTTGAGATTCCCGTTTTTATTCGTTTACCCCGCACCCCCTCCTTCAGTCATCGAAGCATCTGATTGGATAATCTGCGCCCGCCTGTTTAATGACGTGTGTTTTGCGTAAAGCAAATTTGGGCAACGGTCAGTGCCAACCGGATAGATAACGTCATTTGGCTCAGATATTGCTGTCACTTAAAATTACTCAGCTACAAATAATCCATACTATTAGTCAGTCAAAACACACAAAATTGGACCAGTAATATCAGTAATACCAGCTTTTTAACACCTGCTTTTAAATAAGCTAAGATATCATACAGTTTATTTATCAAAAAGGATATGTGCTCTCTTAACTTTAGGAGGGTGTTTGTGCTCCTTGTTGGCTATAAAACAACGTGTTTTTATTTTTAAAATATCAAACTCTGACTAACAGTGCAGCCTTTAAATTATGATTTATGTTTAATGCCATTTTTGCTTAGAGCATATTTCTTTTTGCATAAAATCTATTCGCCAGTTGTTTAAAGATTTTCGTGCAGTGCAGCCATTCAGTTTTTCTTTTTCTTTTTTTTTAATTGTCAATTGCGTCAATTACGTGATATCACGTAATTGTCTGATAAGCAGTTTGCTTATCAGACATGCATTCTGGATTTGATACTTGGGCGTGGCACCATTTGGGTCGACATAAAGACGCACTGACAGATCCAACCAAGCAGCATTTTTTGATCAGCATTTTCCCTTGCATCCCGAAAATTCAAAGGCAGTCATGAGTCTCTCTTCGAAAGACAAGACCCTGGTGAAGACCTTCTGGGCCAAAGTCGAGTCAAAGGGCGCCGAGATGGGTGGAGAAGCTCTGGGCAGGTAAGATCTCATTTTAAAGTAGGGATGACACGGGCTTTTTTTTAAGAGGGTGGGTTTTTCTTTGCTTTTTTTGTAACTTCTTCGTATTTCCTTCTGCTGTATTTTACAGGATGCTCGTTGCTTATCCTCAGACCAAGACCTACTTTTCTCACTGGGGCGACCTGAGCCCTAACAGTCCGCAGGTGAAGAAGCATGGTGCAACCATCATGGCAGCTGTGGGAAAAGCTGTCAAGAACATTGATGATCTTACCAACCACCTTAGCAAGCTCAGTGAGCTGCATGCCAGCCAGCTCCGCGTGGATCCTGCCAACTTCAAGGTAACAAAATATTGCGACCTTTAAACCTACCAGAAATTATAATCATTATTTGTGCATGTACTTTAGTTTAGATTGTGAGCGTTAAAAAACTAAAAAACTAAGTGAATGTAGGGATGTCTGAAGTGCCTGATTTAATCGAATCTGCTGTTTCTGTCACAAACACAGATCCTCAATCACACCATTATCTTGGTCCTGGGCATGTACTTCCCTGCGGACTTCACCCCGGAGGTTCACGTCTCCATGGACAAGTTCTTCAATAACGTCGCCTGGGCTCTGGCCGAGAGATACCGCTAAACATCAAGACAGAAGCTACCAACGTGTGGCATGAATGTCAGCAACCCTCATCATATGTGGGGGCTTGTTCAATAAAATTCACAAACATAAGAATGTCTATGTGTCCATTTATTCAAGCTTTTGTAGAGAAGAATACGCTCATTTCCACAGGTTACAACACAGATGAAAAAACCCACACACAGTATGAAAAAATAAGCCATGTTTTAAGTGTGTTTTTTAATTCTGGCACGTCATTTGCCACAACTTCGATTCCGTTTACACTGTATGCTCGTTTTCAAACATCAGAACAAAGTCTCTGTGGCCACAAAGACCCCATAGTCCATCTAACATGCAATAACCAAAGCAATACATGCTTTCCGTATATCATACTTGGATCACATCACCAGTGACTGGTTTCTCAGATGGTTCAGCGAACAGGTATCAAAATCTAGACTGCGTGCCAACGTCGCACCGCCATACAGCCAAAACTCATACAAGTCACAGATGTGTTTAAATGACCAGTGACAGACCATTCAGAAACAGCGACTACAAGTCACACATTTAGACTGTTTTTAATGGTGTAGCTTGTGTTCAGCATGAGTATGAGTGGTGGTGCTCTGTTTATGTCTGTGTGTGACTTCAACCCATGCCCGATAATGAATTCAGCGTCTCACTAGACCGCCAAGATGCCTCACTGTGTGAAAGCAAGGCTGGACTGGGACAAAAAATCGGCCCGGGCATTTTGACTAGAGACCGGCCCACCAGGATAAAGATTGAAAATGTGACGTCATTCAGGGGTAAAACCGCAAAGGATTCTGGGAACTCTGTGGCAAGAGGTACTAGCGCACGCAGGCTTTCAATTGAATCAGTTACACAGCGATAAAAAGAAACACAAAAAATGGCAAGAAGCTGTTGTATTATTAACTGCAATCAGCCGGTCGCATGACAGCCACGGGAAGCCGATCGGGTAAGATGTTGTTTATCGGATTACGTCGTTGAAGAGAAATGTTTAGCCTGTTTCCGAAGTACAAAGAGCCGACGGATTGGCCTTCATAACCAAATATAACGTCCCAGAACACTCCAGCTCACATGTTAGTCTGCTCCAAGCATTCCCACAAAGGTCAGAGTTTTGTAGTAGTTAATACGTCATTTTTCTAACATAATTGGTGATATAGGTTACAAGCAAGTCTGGCGCTGAACAGAAATGTCGCGCTATGCTCCTTTATTTATTGTGCATAAATAGTGAATTGTCCTGACACAATATTGCGTTTCGCTTCTGTTATTATGGTACATTGACAAAAACATATACTTTTATTCACAGGATAAAACAGTTGTTTTGTATCACTAATTGTCCAGTGCGATTACAGCATACAATATTATTGTCACTGCTACATTTCTGTAATGCTACCAGAAATTATTTCCACTACTAATTAATTACCGTTGAGCTCAAAGGTTATTAATAAACGGTTAACGAATGTGTATTTATGACGACGATTTGTGAGACTGGTAAACTTACTGTAGTCGTACGATGGTCTTTCGTTCTACACGGTGCATTTCAAGGTCCTGTACCCATCCGTCGGTAAACTGTACCTGGGCTTGTTGCAGTGACCTGAAGTTACTAAACTTCATGAGTGTATGCACTCACTCCAAGAACCGTATGATTATAAATCTGAGCGTGGTGAAAGTTGGGCAGCACGCTAACGTCTTTTGTCCCTCTGTGTGCTCGTAAGGGTCTGACCCTTTCACTCCTTTGATTTTTTCCTCGTATCTTTTCTTTGTCTTTTCGTCGAGTCTGTCTTTGTACGGACCGGCATTGTTCTCCTTTTGTTTTGTACATTCCTTTTTTGTGCGGCAAAGAAAAAACAAGAAGGTATTGGAACCGGAGAATGAACGTTTTGCGGTGCTGCAAATGCTTGCATTTGATGCGGTACTTGGATTGTTTTGCCACGAGTTCCCGGCATGCAATGCGCGAAAATCACGTGATTGCTAAACAAGGGGGCGGGTGCATCTCGGCCTCCTCGGCTGTAATTGGTCCAGCCCAGAGTCGATCATGACCAATTGGCCAATCCAACACCTTTCATTATATATACCCTTCCTAAAAAAAATAAAAAAAAAAAATCCATCGGCCCATAAAAACAAAAAATCGCCAGCGGCCCACCGGGCAAATGCCCGGTATGCCCGATGGCCAGTCCAGCTATGCCAGTGTGCATGTCCAAACTCATACTCATGCTGAACACAAGCTACACCATTAAAAACAGTCTAAATGTGTGACTTGTAGTCGCTGTTTCTGAATGGTCTGTCACTGGTCATTTAAACACATCTGTGACTTGTATGAGTTTTGGCTGTATGGCGGTGCGACGTTGGCACGCAGTCTAGATTTTGATACCTGTTCGCTGAACCATCTGAGAAACCAGTCACTGGTGATGTGATCCAAGTATGATATACGGAAAGCATGTATTGCTTTGGTTATTGCATGTTAGATGGACTATGGGGTCTTTGTGGCCACAGAGACTTTGTTCTGATGTTTGAAAACGAGCATACAGTGTAAACGGAATCGAAGTTGTGGCAAATGACGTGCCAGAATTAAAAAACACACTTAAAACATGGCTTATTTTTTCATACTGTGTGTGGGTTTTTTCATCTGTGTTGTAACCTGTGGAAATGAGCGTATTCTTCTCTACAAAAGCTTGAATAAATGGACACATAGACATTCTTATGTTTGTGAATTTTATTGAACAAGCCCCCACATATGATGAGGGTTGCTGACATTCATGCCACACGTTGGTAGCTTCTGTCTTGATGTTTAGCGGTATCTCTCGGCCAGAGCCCAGGCGACGTTATTGAAGAACTTGTCCATGGAGACGTGAACCTCCGGGGTGAAGTCCGCAGGGAAGTACATGCCCAGGACCAAGATAATGGTGTGATTGAGGATCTGTGTTTGTGACAGAAACAGCAGATTCGATTAAATCAGGCACTTCAGACATCCCTACATTCACTTAGTTTTTTAGTTTTTTAACGCTCACAATCTAAACTAAAGTACATGCACAAATAATGATTATAATTTCTGGTAGGTTTAAAGGTCGCAATATTTTGTTACCTTGAAGTTGGCAGGATCCACGCGGAGCTGGCTGGCATGCAGCTCACTGAGCTTGCTAAGGTGGTTGGTAAGATCATCAATGTTCTTGACAGCTTTTCCCACAGCTGCCATGATGGTTGCACCATGCTTCTTCACCTGCGGACTGTTAGGGCTCAGGTCGCCCCAGTGAGAAAAGTAGGTCTTGGTCTGAGGATAAGCAACGAGCATCCTGTAAAATACAGCAGAAGGAAATACGAAGAAGTTACAAAAAAAGCAAAGAAAAACCCACCCTCTTAAAAAAAGCCCGTGTCATCCCTACTTTAAAATGAGATCTTACCTGCCCAGAGCTTCTCCACCCATCTCGGCGCCCTTTGACTCGACTTTGGCCCAGAAGGTCTTCACCAGGGTCTTGTCTTTCGAAGAGAGACTCATGACTGCCTTTGAATTTTCGGGATGCAAGGGAAAATGCTGATCAAAAAATGCTGCTTGGTTGGATCTGTCAGTGCGTCTTTATGTCGACCCAAATGGTGCCACGCCCAAGTATCAAATCCAGAATGCATGTCTGATAAGCAAACTGCTTATCAGACAATTACGTGATATCACGTAATTGACGCAATTGACAATTAAAAAAAAAGAAAAAGAAAAACTGAATGGCTGCACTGCACGAAAATCTTTAAACAACTGGCGAATAGATTTTATGCAAAAAGAAATATGCTCTAAGCAAAAATGGCATTAAACATAAATCATAATTTAAAGGCTGCACTGTTAGTCAGAGTTTGATATTTTAAAAATAAAAACACGTTGTTTTATAGCCAACAAGGAGCACAAACACCCTCCTAAAGTTAAGAGAGCACATATCCTTTTTGATAAATAAACTGTATGATATCTTAGCTTATTTAAAAGCAGGTGTTAAAAAGCTGGTATTACTGATATTACTGGTCCAATTTTGTGTGTTTTGACTGACTAATAGTATGGATTATTTGTAGCTGAGTAATTTTAAGTGACAGCAATATCTGAGCCAAATGACGTTATCTATCCGGTTGGCACTGACCGTTGCCCAAATTTGCTTTACGCAAAACACACGTCATTAAACAGGCGGGCGCAGATTATCCAATCAGATGCTTCGATGACTGAAGGAGGGGGTGCGGGGTAAACGAATAAAAACGGGAATCTCAAGTAAATTATTCACAAGCAGATTTGTGAGAACCTGTGAGAACCTGTTCGTGAACTAGGAGACTTGCATCCCGTCAAAATGGTCGAGTGGACAGATGCTGAGCGCAGTGCCATCATAGGCCTGTGGGGAAAGATTGATGTGGGGGAAATCGGTCCCCAGGCCCTCTCCAGGTAACCTGCAGCTCATAGCAATTCAGAAACGTGGTCGTTTGTTATGCAACTTTTTTTTTACTATAATGTTGAAACTTGGCTGAAGCGAATATATCAACACGTTTCTTTGTGTATGTAGAAGCACTTATTAATGCTATATGCACTAAAATTAATATTGTTTCTCTGGTTTTATTTCAGGCTTCTGATTGTGTACCCCTGGGGTCAGAGATACTTCCAAGCCTTTGGAGACCTGTCCACCAATGCCGCCATTATGGGAAACCCCAAAGTGGCACAACACGGAAGGACCGTGATGGGTGGTCTGGAAAATGCTGTGAAGAACTTGGACAACATCAAGCAGACCTACGCCAACCTGAGCGTTATGCACTCCGAGAAACTCCACGTGGATCCCGATAACTTCAGGGTATGCCCCCCACCAGCACCCAGAAACAATCATCACACATGGACCTGAAAAAGGTGAGCTAATTAGTTTGTGTTTATTAACTCTGTTAAGCATTTTCTTTCTCTCATTTTAGGTGCTCGCTGAATGCATCAGCCTGTGCGTTGCCGCTAAGTTTGGTCCCAGCGTCTTCACCGCTGAGGTCCAGGAAGCCTGGCAGAAGTTTTTGTGCGTGGTCGTTTCTGCCCTGGGTAGACAGTACCACTAAATTTCTGGAGTGCCAGTTCATCAAAAAAAGATGTGCAACAGTCATATAAGTGACATCATATATCTTTTTGACTCTGTTGCCAGATGCACCAATAAATAAAACCTCAAATCATACTCATTCTCTGTGCGATCATTTGACTTGTTCTTTTAACCGGCAATACAACATCAAGAAGGAGATCTCGGACAGTCAATAATCCTCAATAGAAGTCGCCTATATGTTTGAGTATAATATAAATATTACAAGTATGCCTCACCGATAATCCGTTTCGTGACTTTTTCCTTTACTGTTAAGTTTTGCTTTTCGTATAAAAAAGAGTGAAAGGGATCCAAAGTTGTTGTTCTCTGGCTGCATGGGAAGTATTGTTGATGTACGTGAAGTGTTCCAAAATGCAAAGAAGAACATCAGCTATCAGGCATTTTACGCATATTTAAAGTTAGAGCGTTAACAACGAGTCAGTCTGCGAGCTCAGAAAAAAGTACTTCTTCTTTAGTGCAGAAAATTCGTTTATAACCTCGACCCAACATAACACAAGAACACTGCTAGGCGTATAGCGGCAACATTATAAAAACGCTATGCTTTTTTTAAAACAAAAGATTTTAAAATAAAATCTTCATAGAAGTTCAGGATAACTCATAACGAAGATATATAACTATGCACTTGTATTTGAGAGCCAGTGAAATGTTTTGATGCGATCTATTGTTTGTTGTTCAGTGTTGTATCACAGTGGGTCGGAATGAAGAAACACGGATTCCAACTTTTGAAATTTTTAGCCATCGTGGCTTCATATTTGCCATTTGTTTAATATCGGAGTCAAATGGGAAATACTTTTAACTAGTGGAAGTTTATAATAGAGTCTAGTTTTCTGCACAAGTTTCAAATTGAATTATTTGTTAAAAAAACAAACAAAACCATGTTTGCTTCAGAATTAATACATTTTGCCCCATTTTTTGTGCCTTATCACTTATTAAATCATACAACCAACACCATATACTTTTAATCTAATTTAAAAAATTGCTACAGCTTTCCTTATCAGTGTTGGAAACCTTTGATTAAAAAAATTAATTTACATCTTTACAAAAACTTATTTTTGATTCATTTTGATGGTGGAAATTAAACAGAACTGCAAAGCGTTACACAGAAGCAGCTTGACCAATGCATTATCTAACAGGGGTTATAAAAGTCTAAAAGCTGTTTTGTTACTTCTTTTTAATACTCATTCAGCAAAGAAGTATTACAAGTCATCCCACTGCCCACCTCCACCCAGCTGCATATCTTTGGGTGGAGCAAAATGGCTCCTTTATAAGCTGCATGTGGGGACCTGCTGACCAAAGCAGGATAGGCGCAACAGTCAACAAAGCAAGATGGTTGCATGGACAGACTTCGAGCGAGCCACAATCAAGGACATCTTCTCCAAGATCGACTATGAAGTCGTTGGCCCAGCAGCTATTTCCAGGTAAGATCATCGGCATAAAGCTGTTTTTATGCTTGTATGTAAATTTACAAATATAAGAGGGCACATTTTGTGCATTAACATATACTTTAGTTTTAGAAATGTGATTTATCCAAATGTTCTTGTTTCCTCAGGTGTCTGATTGTGTACCCCTGGACTCAGAGGTATTTCGGTGGATTTGGAAACCTCTACAATGCTGCTGCCATCACATCAAATCCAAGGGTTGCGTCTCATGGAAAAGTCATCATGGAAGCTCTGGAAAAAGCCGTGAAGGACATGGACAACATCAAGGCCACATATGCAGAGCTGAGCGCGCTGCACTCTGAGAAACTGCAGGTGGACCCTGACAATTTCATGGTATGCAATGCTGAAACTAATGGTACTGCATCCCAATTTGTGTATGTGTGTGTTGATGTTTTTTTTCATGCATATTTTGTAGTCCTGCAGCTTCTGGGCGACTGCCTGGCCATTGTGGTTGCTGCTCAGTTGGGTAAAGACTTCACTCCTGAGGTCCATGCAGCTTTCCAGAAGTTCCTGGCAGTGGTGGTGTCCTCCCTGAGGAGGCAGTACTAGAGAGCTGCAGAGGACCATCACATGTTCTGTTTTTAAATCATGTTTTAATGAGCTTTAAATAAAGAAATCTGTACTGCTCAGGCTATGTATTTTCTGCTATAGTATGCGTGAGCTCATTTATAGTGTTGGGGGAAAGTCCACACACACACACACACACACCACACACACACACACACACACACACACACACACACACACACACACACACACACACACACGCGCGCGCGCGCGCGCGCAGACATTTTTCAAGAACTAGAAAATAAATCACTATTAAAATGTCACTGTTCTGAAAGAGACAGTAGTTTAAGATGCAAATGACTTTGAATTAAAAAAAAATAGCATGATAAAACTTTTCTGTTTTTGCTCTTTCATTTGGTAAACCAACAAATTTGGCAAAAACAACTCGATTTGGCAGCTTCCCTTTGCGGTGTCAGCCGAATTCTCGCTTTCAATAAGGTTCAGTGTCGTTCAGCTTTGACTACGTTGTTCTGTGTCATAAATTGGCATAAACCACAGAAACAAAAAATACTCATAAAGTATTGTATGCACAAGTTTTGGACCGGTGGGTCAGCGGTCAGCGCTTTGGGAGGAGAACTGCTTGTGACGCATGTGCTTGCCCACCTTACAATTGCAGGTCAAGGCAGATGAAATACAGGCTACTGTGTGCACAGGTAATGGTGGTGGTGCTCTGTTTATGTCTGTGTGTGACTTGTACCCATGCCCCGATAACTGAATTTCAGCGTCTCACTCAGACCGCCGAGAGTGCCCAGTGTGCCCAGTGTGCATGTCCAAAGTGAGAATAACGCATTCTAACTAT